GAGTTATTGCCAGAAAAGTACTACATTAAAAAAAAAATCACTCCAAACCCAGTGATGTCAAACAATTATTGTTTATTCAAATTTGTCAGCGGCATGGCCAGAGTTCAGCAGATCTAGTTGGGGCTTGGCTGGGCTTGGATTTGGAGGAAACAATATCTACTTAAATGGAGCCAATGAAGGAAGAGAGAAGATAACTGATGTGCATCAGCCAGTAACATTTACTCATATCAGGTCAAAGAATAAGCCAGAAGAGTAATACCCCTTCCCAAGGGGTGAGGCTAAAAATCAGGTATGGAGACTCAAGTGTTACCCTTTTGGTACACTGATGACTGTGCATTCCCTCAGCCATTGGTAATCGTTATTCCTATATTTTAACTTATACTTTCTTTTGGCGGGGGTGTACCGGAGATGAATCTCAGGGGTACTCAGCCACTGAGCCACATCCCCAGCCCTATTTTGTATTTTATTTAGAAACAGGGTCTCACTGAGTTACTTAGGGCCTCACTAAATTTTTGAGGCTGGCTTTGAACTTGAGATCCTCCTGCTTCAGCCTCCAGAACCACTGGGATTACAGGTGTTAACTCATACTTTTAGATCATATTTTCTACTGCTTTATTTCTGCACCCCCCCACTTCCATTCAAATTCTTCCCTACTTCACACATACACCTGATCTCTTCTACATTCCTTTTCTCCAGTTTTTATACTAGTAATAAATCCTCAAGTCTGGGAAACAACGTAGATTTGTAGTAACATACCTTTATGCCTTAATGGAGTTTCTCTATAGCAAAGGAAACAATCAACAAAACAGAATAATCTGCATCTGCAGAATCAGAGAAAATATTTGCAAATTATTCATGTGACAAAGAATTAAGTCTAGAATATATAAGAAACTCAGAAAACTTAACAAAAATCAAACAACCCATTTAAAATATGTCTAAGTTATCTGAATAGCCATTTCTATAATGAAGAAATTAAAAAGTCCAACAAATATATGAAAAAAATCTCACTATCACTAGCCATCAGGGAAATGCACATCAAAGCCATGAAATATCATCTCACTCCAAGAAGAATGACCATTGTCCAAAAGACAAAAAATAATGCTGGCTCAGGATGTGGAGAAAAGGGAACTTTTTATATACCGTTTGTGGGTATGTAAGTAATATAGCCATTATGGAGAACAGTCTAGAGGTTTCTCAAAAAGCTACAAATAGTTCTACCATTTGAATCACCTGTTTCACTTGTGGATAAATACCTAAAGGAAATAAAACCAACATCCCAAAAGATACCTGTAACCCCATATTTACTGCAGTGCTAATATTAACAGCAAAATGTGAGTTAAGCGTAGGTGCTCATCAACAGATAATGGATAAAGAAAATGTAGCATATATGCATCATTTTTATGATATTATTTAGCAATAATGGTCTATTCTTTAAAATAGAGTGTTATAACCATAAAGAAAAATGATCCAGTGGGGTGGTGCTTGCCTGTAATCTCAGCAGTTTGTGAGGCTGAGGCAGGAGGATCACAAGTTTAAAGGCAGCCTCAGCGACTTAGTGAGGCCCTAGCACCTTATCAAGACTCTGTTTCAAAATAAAAACAAATAAAGAAGGCCTGAGGATGTGGCTCAGTGGTTAGTGTGCTTGGGTCAATCCCCAGTACTAAATTAAAAAAGAAAGAAAGGAATTCTGTCATTTGTAACAAAATGGATGAAACTGAAGTCCATACCATCATGTTGAATTAAATAAGTCAGACACAGTAAAATAAATACCGCTTGGAAAAAAGTTGCTCTGAAGATAGAGTAGTGGTTACTAGAGACTGGGAAAAGTGAGGGTAGGGGGAACAGAGGAAGGATAAAACTTGTATATCAAAACAGAAAGAATAAGTTTTAGTGTTCAACAGCACAATTTGCAACTATAGTTCACAGTACCTATTATATAGTTTATGAAGGACTAGAGGAGTTTTCTTCCACTCTGTCTAATCTGCTGTAAAATTTATCCATTGATTTTAATTTTAACTATTATTATTCTTTTTAAATATTTATGTATTCTAGCTGGGCATGGTACTTACATTAATGAATTTGATCCACACAAAGGCTTGTGTATATAAACACTCTATTTCTCAATTTTTATGGGTGAAAAAACGGAGAGGGAAAGAAACTGATTGCATAAGGACATTCAACCAGAGCATGGAGGAGCTAGGATTAGGACCCCAGTTTGGCTTCAGCATGCACATGCTAACTGCTGTGATACCCTTCCTGTTGCCAAGCAGAGCGATTCCTCTCCTGCTTCCTTTACCTGAGTAGGTGTTTTGCATTCCTTATTACCACAGAGACTGGGCAATAAATATGTTCTGGCTCTCCCTGGGGCAGTAGATGAAATTTTCTGGTGTATTTTTAGCACCGAACAGTCTTGCCAAGATGCTGGATTCAAACAGGGACATGGATTCCAGCTTTCCAACCTGTCAAGCATCCAGTCACAGGGACATTAAGACTCTGAGCCATGGGTCTTGGTCTAATATATTCTTGGCCTGCTCAGTGTCCACAATGCCACTCATGGTTCAAGGGAATTTAAATTTCCCTTTTCATTTTTAGCATCTGGGTATATGCCTTCTTCTCTTTCTTTCTTAATATTCATTACTTTCTCCTCCTCCTCCTCCTCCTCCTCCTCCTCCTCCTCCTCCTCCTCCTCCTCCTCTTCTTCTTCTTCTTTTGTTGTTGAAGTTTGGCTATGTATCTGAACTTTTGTTTGGGGATTTATCCTAGTCACCATCTCACTATTTTCTGTCCTCCTAGTCAGAAGCTAGAGCTTCCGCATCATCATAGGTCAACATTTGTGGGGCAATCTTCACATTTAAATGAAGACATTAGTCTTCCCCAAATGAAAATAAACCAGAATAAAAAGGTCAAGAAAGAAAAAGACAGAGCATCTATAAAAACAGTAAGAAAATGAGAAAATATATTTAATCAAAGCAATAATTGATATTATAGATGTAATAATATTACTAATATGATTGTAAGGAAGGCAAGAGTAAAAATAATTCCTGAATCTTTTTAGAATAGCTGTAACAATAAAAAACTAGAAAACTGTACTGTGTTCCAATTGACTTACACTGAATTTTTTTTTAAAGAGAGAGAGAGGAGAGAGAGAGAGAGAGAGAGAGAGAGAGAGAGAATTTTTTAAAAATATTTATTTTAGTTTTAGTTTTCGGCAGACACAACATCTTTATTGGTATGTGGTGCTGAGGATCGAACCCGGGCCAAACGCATGCCAGGTGAGCGCGCCACCGCTTGAGCCACATCCACAGCCCTACACTGAATTATTCTTTTATTTTTGATTCAAAATTTATGTGTGTGACCTTCCTCACACCCCAGGAGACCTTTAAAACACCTCTATCACCTTTGCTTTTGCCAATTTTTAATGTAAAAGACATGTAATCTTTCACTGTTGACTATTTTTAAAATTAGAACTAATTTCAAAGGAGAGGAATATATGCATAATATGCAATTATAATTGTTGTTATTCTTTTTTTTAAACATATCCCCCTTTGCTCCAGAACATCTCTGTTTTATGATTATTAACATCTGTAAGTTGGGAGCCACATCAAATATTTGAGATTTCCCAATACATGGACTTTGGTTTCCTGTTTTGCCATTTACTATGGCAGGTCAAGAAAAGTTTGTAATTCTTTTCGGAGAGATAGACTTTGAAATGAGAATTGAATATTTTTCCGTTTTTATTTTTTTCTAGTATTCATGCTCAGAAATTCTCCTGAAACTTTTAAGATTTTTAGTCCTTGGCAATATATTTACTGTTAGTTTGTTCACACTTCTTACCATGCCTTTATCTACTGTTAAAAGAATGGAAAAATGAAATTTGTTCCTAATTCTTCATTTTCCATCTTAACAGATTCTTGAAGGCAGAATAGTCATTTTTTTTTTTTTGCATAGCTTTATTAGAAAAATAAACACAAAAAAAATAAAAAATTCAGCTTCAGCATGTTTGCCCGTTTAGTCTGAATTGGTCAAGTTTATAATTGACAGTCATGTTTAACCATCAATCATGGGGGAAAAAAAGATAAAGATTTCTCATACAACTTTAACTTTGGTCAGTATTTTTTTTTTTTACTCTTTTCTTACTCTTTCCTTTGTCTTGGTCTCATGATGTCTGATGAACTAGTATAATTTTCCTTATTTGCCATTTCTCCCCTATCCCTGGAGTTGAAAAACAAGATGAACAAACATAGGGTCTGTTTTATTCTCAACCAATCACTGAACAGTCATTTCCCTGCAGAATAATTGGTTTAGGGGTTAAAAGGAGAGAGAACAAAACAAGTTCATCATGTGCCGCTTGGCTTGACTACACCCCTCTGTAGAAGGCAGTCTGAATAAGAACTGCTGGGAGTAGCCACCTACTTAAGGAATAAATGAGGAAGCAGCAATACATTTTAAATTTTTAATTGTTGCACTAGGTTCAAGGAGAACTGTGATTTGCCATTTCCAGAGGACTTTTTAAAAATTTCCTGACAGTAAGTAAAGCTTTTTTTTTTTTCCTATAGTATGCCAAATATGTGGGTGGGACACTGTTAAAATCATAATTTTCAGATGTTTTCAAACACTTCTATGTTTTTATGTTGAAGACTTAATGACTAAATTTTTTCTGTTTTTTCCCAAACAACTTTTATCCTGTAAGTATAACAGTAAAATATAGGAAAATAGTAAATTTTTTTCTGTTCTTACCAGTAGAGAATTGCATAAATATTTTGATATGCAAATTTGAAAGAATAATTAAATTTGGAGATTATAAAAACTGGGGAAAAAAAGACTTCTGTTTGTTTGATAACATTTGGATGAAATTCCTTTCCCATGTAATTTGTTATTTTCTTCTTCTTTTTAAAACTTGTTTCACAGATTGTTTCCTGAGTTATTCAGGGACTAAATTGAGAAATTTAAGAGAAATTGTTTTATTCTTCTTGTGTCTCAGAATCCAATTTAATGCACTTTGAGTCCAGATAGTGATCCCACAGCCTGATTCTTTTGTTAAAAGTTGTCCACTGCAATCTTAAGGTAAATACTATAAGAAAATATTTCACTGGGGTCATAACTAATGAATGTTACTTATTATTCACATGAACTGAAGTAATCTGAATTTTGACATTAATTTGATTAGCTTTGAGATTTTCATTTAAAGTGCAAGGAGCAAGAAATGACTATTATTAGGAAGAGATATAATTTAATTATTCACATCATTCTGCTATGAAAGGTCAAAAAGTGAAGTTATAGGTTCTAAGCTCAAATGATAGTTTTTCTAGAAAGTGTAGAATTCTGTTGCTGAAAAATGTGAAAACAAATCACTCTACCTCTCCACCATCTCTCACTCCCCCAGATAAAGTGAATATATGTGAGGTGAATCTTTAGTCATGAATTATTGCAATACAATTTTAAATCTTTTTTTACAATTTTTAGAAGCAGTAAATATTTTACTCAAAAATATAATCATGATTTTTCTTAGTATGCTTATTTTTTCTGGTTTATTTCTCTTTGTTTATTTAATGAAGAGTCAAAATGAGAATAAAACAGACAAGTGTGTATCAGCAAACTCAAGCTCTTCTGTGTAAGAATTTTCTTAAGAAATGGAGGATGAAAAGAGAGAGTGCATTGGTATGTAAGACAGTTTGTCTCCTTCTCCAGTTTTATTTTGTTGCTTAATGATTTCTAATGTTATTCTTTAATTTGAAGACCAGATGTGTTGGTTTTTAGGTTGTCTCTATTTGTATTTGTTTAATTGAGAAACTCATAATAGTTTTTGAACAATAACCTAGAATTGTAAAGACTAAATTACTATTCAGATCTTTAAAAAGAGATTAAGTGCACACTTAATTAAGTGGTAAATTGTAGGAACTGTTAAAGCTACCACTTTATCCCATTTAGAGCCAAATAATTGGCTTACAATAAATGTTAACTTCATGGTCTCATATTTAAGACTGTTAATTTTCTACCTAAAGATTTTTCTGAGATTATGATCACGTCACACCACTGTGGGTTTGCATCAGGCAGCAGGCTAACTGCAGGTGACTATTTCAGATTTCAGTGGCTTAACTGTGAAGGTTTATGTTTTACTCTTATTGCAATCTGAAGGTTGTAGTGGAGAAGTGAGTTGGGTAGGTGGTACACTCTTCTCCACACAGTCATTCAGAAACCTAGACTTCTTCAACTAGAGACTTTGAGATCTCACTAGAGCTTACAAACCTTCACTGAGTTTTCTGCATCCAGTCAGAAGATGAGGAAAAGGAAGATTTGAGACAGAGTATGGAAGGTTGTGTGAGGGTCCCTGAACATGGCAAGGAAGTAGCATGTTTTCAGTTCTGTCCACATCCCACTGGCCAGAACTCAAACATTTAGTCTCACTTAATTTTGGGAGGTGGGGAACCTAGTCTAACGTGATATAAAGGAGGAAGTGATTATTGATATTGTTGATCCACTGGTTATTGACATTGTTGATCCACTAGTGAGTCTTTAACACTCAGTTCCTTCTTATTTCCTTTAGTTTTTGATACAAGGGTATCAGAACTGACAAAACATTTGCCCCATGAACCCTATCTAGAATACTTATCTGGAGTCTTGAATTAGCTACCTATGTGTGTAGAGATTAGCACCCTATTAGGTGTCCTGTTAGTTTCTAATGGCTTGTGACGTAGTTCATGAATTATTGCAAAAGTTTAGTTCTAGAATCTGAGAAGGATATATGTGGCTATTAACTTGGTATTTATATTCATTGGGTTCTCCTTGCTCTGAAGAGTAGAGAATGGAGAGACCAACTACATGGCAAAACTGAAATCTGTCTTCAACAGTTCTTTGATGTGGACTGATTTTAAGGGAAAATGATCTAAGCTCATCTATTTCTTCTTACTTCTTTTTGTCAAATATTTTATAGGAATGGGGCCTCCCAATACTGCTAGGACTGTATGTGGGTCTGCTTTCAGAAGTCAAAGAAAATAACCAATTACCTGAAATACCTCCTCAAGATCTGGGAAGGGTAGACAAATTTAATGTCTCTTCTATAATGATTGTGTATACTCCAGTCTCTAATATAACTCAGCAGATAATGAATACAACAGCATTTGCTCCCTTAATGAAAGGTAGGTGTACTAATGGCAAGACAGCATTACTGATATTAGTTGTAGTTTTTGATAAGATGTACACATATTAATTTGAGGTTACAGTGATAACTGTTTATTTTGCTAACAAATTAAACATCAAGATAGCATACAATTTTGTTAGTTTTTTTTTTGTTTGTTTGTTTTTTCAGAACTATTAGCTTTGAGGGCAGTTGATTTAAGGAGGCCCACATTCCTATTGGAATGTAATGAAACAACAGATTTATAATTTCAAATTTGCAGAGTAGTGAATAGGGGAAACATAACCATTGGTGAATACATATGTTTTTAACATGGAAATATAATGATTAAGATGTATAGCTCACAAACAAACAAACAAACAAGCAACTAAGTAAAAGATTAGGAATTGGTTATAGAACAGTAATTTCATAACTATGAAAACATGAATAATCTGAAGGTTGTTCTTTCTGAATATAGTATAATTCATAAACATCTTTAGGGGTCTTCATTCTAAATTACATTATTATGTAATCAAGATGAACAAACTGTGTAATTTATTCATGTGTAAGCTGGGTGTAGTCTGACTATTTACTCTTTAATTCATAATTTCTAACAAGTGAAATTTCTGGTTGTTATAAATAGAGTTGCTTGTTATCTTAGTTTCTGCATAGGACAAAGGTCATACAATTTCTTTTCTTCAGTGAATTTGGAATCTGGAATACTTAGCTGTATAATGACTACAATTTGGAATCTGGAATACTTAGCTGTATAATGACTACAATTTTTCATAGTTTCATTGTCTAATGCTGACTAATCCCACCATAACGTTTTTTGTATATATAATTATTTTCTTTTTAAAATGATTTATCATTTTAAAAAGAAAACACTTAAATTCTAATGCATGTCTCCTGATTCTAGAATCTAAAGGATTAAAATAAAAATGTCCACTTGACTTTTATTTCAAGTTTGCTTTAAATGGAAAATGATATTAGCGTTAAGTCTAATAAAAATATGTGATGATGGTTGAACACAGATTTTATGTTGGGGAAACTCAATTACAATTTTCTATGTCTATTTTTGCCTTGTAATTCACAGGAACAAGAATCATTGGGGTACCAAATGAAAAAGACATGGATGACGTAATTTTCCAGAATTTCCCACATGCAGTGGGAATCACCTTTAGTGACACTTTCTCTTACAAGTTAAAATTTTTTCAAGGATATGCTGTTCCATTTTTGAGAGATGATTTAACAGGTGACTTTTCATATAAAATTTGATTATGTCTGTCTTCATGTTTTCAACATAAGAACAGGTGGGGATGGGCAATATAGATTTTTTCAATGGCACAGGAGAAAATAAAATAACATTTATTGTTGAACTTATTCCAAGATAAACTAGATAAACTAGCCTCCCACTAGAAGCTGATTCTCAAAAAAACAAAAAACCTGTAGAATAATTCAACATATATCTATTGAGCATGCATGTATATGACTGGAAGGATGCAGGTGTGATCAAGACTGACAGGTCTGCTGATGGGTCCATGACAGGTGAAATTCCAATTTATCAGGAAAGTCAGATGTTGAAGAATTAAGGACAAGTACAAGGAAAGGTTCTTGTGGGGACTTAGACTGGTATTCTTGGTGAACTGTGAAATTAGGGAAAGGATGTTTAAACCAAGACCAGAAGGCATTGCTTTCAGGGAACAGAAAGAGGAAAGGTAAATGGGAAAGACCTGAAGGGAGAAAGGGGATCTCTTATTAGATCTTGAAGATACTGAAGAGGAGTATAATAGGCAGAGGAAGCTGGATCTTCTGGCATCTCATAGACCTCAAGCATTGGATAGCCCTTGAGGTACTTCAGTCGAGGCAAGGAAGGTTGTGATTAGGTTTCCAAGACTAAGACAGCATTCCTGATGCAGCCAGAGAATAGATTGTAAAGGACTCAGGGAGAATGTAATGAATCCTGCCAGTGAGCTGACAGGTGGCTGAGCTGATGCTGGAGGCAGCTGAAAGGGAGAGAGGGCAAAAAATTAGAAGACCCTCTAGGAAGCAGAAGCAATGGGACTAGTAGAATCAGTTCTTTCCTACTCATGCTAATTGGGACAGGGGATGGGAGAAAAATCATACCCACCACAAAGTATGACAAAGCCAGGTTATAAGATAAAGAACTCAAGAGCTATTTTATATATCTTATATATAGCTATCAGGAAAGACCTGTTTGATGAAGTTACTTGAGAGAGGAGATCAGGATGAAGAAGTGAGCCATACGTCCATCTAAAAGGAGAACATTTGAGTGCAAAGAAAGTTGTAGGGCTGGGGTGTTTTTAATATTTTGAGAAATAGCATGGAACACAGTGTTTCCTTTTATTTACTTTTTGTTTTCTAATATCTTCTATGAATCTGTGGTCTTCATGAATAAAATTACCTTTTTAAACTTTCATGTGCTTCTTTCTTCTGTGTAGTTAAATATTCTGACTGGCAAAGTCTCCCCTGTATTGTCTTTTCTTAGATTCTTGCTTCTTAGTGTCCAACAGTCTTTGTCCCATACTGATGGTTATTTTTTTCTTTGTGCTTATAGGTCATTGTTGGGAAATATATGGTGAATATTCATGTGTATTGTCCAAATACTGGGAAAGAGGATTTGTGACTTTGCAGACTATCATTAATGCTGCTATTATAGAAGTAAGTACCCACCTGAGAAGGTCTAATGTTCAATGTAAACTAATCCCAAGGGCATCATGATTGTTGTGAAAGTTGATGCTTTTAGTCCATTTATGCTGTGATTTATCAACTACCTGAGACTGGGTGATTTAAAAAGAACAGAAATTTGTTTCTCACAGTTCTGGAACCTATAAACTGCTGAGAGTCTATGTTCCTCACAGATGTCACCATCTAAGTGTCCTCACATGGTGAAAGAGCAGAAGGGCAGAAAGGGCCTTAGTTGGTTCCCCACAGCCCTTGATAAGGCACTAATTCATCCATGAGGGTAGTACCACATTCATGAGGATAGTTATCTAATCACTTCCCCCAAAGGCCTACCCCTTATATCACCACAGTGATGAAGTTGCAATGTGAATTTATAGAAGGGTCCCATTCAAACCAAAGCAGTGATGTATATTCAGGTTTTCGTATGTTTATATAATGAAGCAGATGTTCAGACAAGTGAACCCTGCCTATTTTCAAACTTGTTTTTTGGTACTAGGGATTGAACCTAAGGGTGCTTAACCACTGAGCAACATCCCCAGATCTTTCCATTTTTTCATTTTGAGACAGAGTCTCACTATGTTTCAGGGGCTGGCGTTAAGTTCCTGCTTCTCCTGCCTGAGCTTCCAGAGTATTTTCAAACTTTTAGTTTTTAAGTAGTTCTAAAATCACAGGAAGCTGCAGGAATTTACAGAGAGGTCCATTTTACTAGTCACTCATTTTCCCCTAATGTAAAAATCTTATATAGAAATAGTAGAATATTGAAATTGTTATAAGTACAAACTGCAACACTGATGCTGATTTCATCAATTTCAGTTCCTTAAACAATGATTCATATTTGTTTAAATCCTTCTTTAGGTCACAACAAATCACTCTGTGATAGATGAGTTGATGTCAGTCACTGCTATAAATATGAAGACATTACCTTTTATTTCTAAAGACATTTTTCAAAGTGAGATGTTCATTTTATACTGTTTGCTTTATTTTTCCCCATTTATATATTTTGTATCACACAATGTTACAAAAGAGAGGAAAAAGAGTAAGGAACTGATGAAAATGATGGGTCTACATGATTCAGCTTTCTGGTGAGTGATACATTCAAGTAGTTCCAGTTAATAAATGGAAACTCTGAAGCAGAAAAAAATATGTTATTGCTTCAGAATACCATTGTGTAACCTTGATATAGTAACTACATTATCTTTTGCTGACTTGTTGATTTAGTCTGTGTTAAATTTTGTCATGGAAAATAATGCTTACAGTTTGCTGAGTAATTTTTCCTGTGCTGTGAATATCTTAAGCTAACTCTGTGATAGAGAAACTCTCCTCTAGTTTATAAATAAGGAGAGTTAAAATGAAAGAGGGTTGCCTAGATTTTGGTATATGTTGAGTATCAGAGCTGCAACTCTAACCAAAGTGTCCTGAAGGCACCTCTCCTAATTGATCTACCCACAATTATCAGCTGATTTCTCCATGCTTCCTCATGTTGAAGACGAAAATATAGGCCTATGAAGGCTAAGTTGTGTTCAGGGGCTGGGCCCAAACATATATTTTTTGGAGCAAGGAAATATCATATCTTGTTAAATGAAGTAGCATATGGAACGCGTTCAGGAAATACAACACCTGGGCTGACATGTAGGAAGGGCCTCATAAGAGCATTTGCTTCATATAGTAGTATTTATATCTTGATCCATTCCACACATAATTTAAAGTATTTTGAAATATATATGTGTGAATATATACACATAACAAAAACATTAATAGATGAGTTTAGTAAAGAGAAATGTAAATCATACAACCCTCAACTCCCAAGACGTCAAACGGAATTTTGCAAGACATTCAGTGACAAAATTCATACTGCCTAGAAAAAGAGGAAAAGGAAAAATAATGTATTTATTTTACCCCAAAAGAAACATTTTTGATATTGAATCTCCATGTAGTCCTCATATCAATAAAATATTCTTTATGCATATGGAACTACTTGGAATGAATGAATAATTATTCACTTGAAAAATCCCTTGAAAGCCATGTGTTTCCTGAAATATAATTATGGTCTAGGAAATTTTTATTATCTATAAAATATATTTACTAATAGTGATTTTTAATTCTACTATGTGTGAATTGTGAAATAGAAAAAGAGGAAACCATATGTTAAGAGAGGGAGAATAATTTTTTTGCAATGGGACATTTGGAAATACAAATAGCCAATCACAAAATCTGTTAGGAAGGAAGAGAGATGGAACTCCTGTAAAAGGGGCCTACTTTAAATCCAGGGCATGTCCTATAGAACAGAATGACAGCAGTCACCTGTGATCAGGAAAGTACCAGTCAATCCCATACTAAAGTGAGAAAAGTATTATACATGTGCGTGTGAATTCATTCTTAGGATAATTTTTGGTATGCATCAAACCGAAAACTTAGCTATATATATATTTACTTATACATCCTTAAAACAAAGACAGAAAAAGATTCTGATAAGTTTCTACTAAGTTCCAAATGTGTCTATTCAAAACAAATTGAATGACACTCTTTTACTGATGTCATACATGTGAAAAGTAATCATTATTTATTCTTTAAGTATGATGTCTAAATTGCTTTATTTTCAGCATGAGGGTTTTTGTAGATTTAACATCTCTCTCCAAATTCCTTCTATCACTCCTATAACTTTTTTTAGATAATGTTAAAATCTCTTTCATTTGTGGTTCTCCTACATTGTGGTTTTTAATTTCCTACTTAAAGTAGTTCACTTCTGTACTCAGGAAGTGGAATCTGCAGAATGTGTTATGCTTTTAAAAATATGCTGATGCTTCTCGCACAGGCTGAATCACTGTAATGATGTGAAATTTTAAAAGTCAAGTAACTCGTAAATCTAGTATATACATGTTCTACTGGGACATATTGAATCAAGGTCCTGGTTTTAATATTTTTGTTATATTCTTCAGTTGTTATATTCTTAATTATGTAGTTTTAAGCAGAGGAACGAACTCTGGAGAGAGAGCGCTACATATGCACCTTGATACTGGTTTACTTTGTGGCCCTGAGTAAAGCCATTAACTAATAAAGGGATTGCAGCTTTCTTTTTTTTTTTTGTACATTTCTTTTTAAAATTTGTTATTGATTTTTTAAAAAAATTAATGACAGCAGAATGCATTACAATTCTTATTACATATATACAGCACAATTTTTTATATCTCTGGTTGTATATAAAGTATGTTGACACCAATTTGTGTCTTCATACAGGTACTTTGGATAATGATGACCATCACATTCCACCATCCTTGCTAATGCCTGCCTCCTCCCTTCCCCTACCCATCTAGAATTCATCTATTCCTCCCATGCTCCCCGTCCCTACCCCAATATGAGTAAGCCTCCTTATATCAGAGAAAACATTCAGCATTTGTTTCTTGAGGATTGGCTAACTTCACTTAGCATTATCTTCTCCAATGCCATCCATTGACCTACAAATGCCATGATTTTATTCTTTTTCATTGCTAAGTAAAATTCCATTGTGTATATATGCCACATTTTTTTATCCATTCATCTACTGAAGGACGTCTAGGTTGGCTCCACAGTTTAGCTATTGTGAATTGTGCTGCTATAAACATTGGTGTGGCTGTGTCCCTGTAGTATGCTATTTTTAAGTCCTTTGGGCCAAAGAGAGGGATAGCTGGGTCAAATGGTGGTTCCATTCCCAGATTTCCAAGGAATCTCCATACTGCTTTCCATATTGGCTGCACCAGATTGCAGTCCCACCAGCAATGTATAAGTGTACCTTTTTCCCCACATCCTCGCCAACACTTATTGTTGTTTGTCTTCATAATAGCTGCCATTCTGACTGGAGTGAGATGATATCTTAGAGTGTTTTGATTTCCATCTTTCTAATTGCTAGAGATGATGAAACATTTTTTGATATATTTGTTGATTGATTGTATATCCTCTTCTGAGAAGTGTCTGTTCAGGTCCTAGGCCCATTTGTTGATTGGTTTATTTGGATTTTTTTTTTTTTTTTGGTGCTTAGCTTCTTGAGTTCTTTATATACCCTAGAGATTAGTGCTCTATCTGATGTGTGAGGGTTAAAAATTTGCTCTCAGGATTAGACTCTCTGTTCACCTTACAGATTATTTCTTTTGCTGAGAAGACACTTTTTAATTTGATTCCATCCTATTTAGTGATAAGGTGGCATCACTATACCAGACCTTAAACTATACTACAGAGCAGTAGTAACAAAAACATTATAGTATTGGCACCAAAACAGACTGGTAGACCAATAATACAGAATAGAGGACACAGAGACTAACCCACAAAATTACAAGTATCTTATATTAGACAAAGGTGTCAAAAACATGCAATGGAGAAAAGATAGCCTCTTCAACAAATGGTGCTGGGAAAACTGGAAATCCATATGCAACAAAATGAAATTAAACCCTTATCTCTCACCATGCACAAAACTCAAAGTGGATCAAGTTCCTAGGAATTAAACCAGTGACTCTGTGCCTAATAGAAGAAAAATTAGGCCCTAATCTTCATTATATGGGATTAGGGCCAAATTTCCTTAATAAGACTCACATAGCACAAGAATTAAAACCAAGAATTGCAGCTTTCTTATTTATAAAATAAGGCACTTGGGCTAAGGCACACTGTGGTCTTGTTAGATCTAAAATCTAGATCTAATAGTCTGGATAAATACTTCATAAAAATGGGAATATGGGCACACCTGAAGCAAATCAGCATGAAAATGTAAATGCATACCATAATTCATGTCAGTTGCAGTAAAAAATTATGAGTATGAATAGGAAGAATACATGAAATTACTGAAGTTACAGACTTCAACTATTAAAGGAGTGGAGGTGCTACCTGTGGAGACCCTCAAGAATTATTATATATCCCTGATGTTAGTAGACTTGAGTTATTTGACCAGCATCTGTTAAATTTCCTTCCAATTCTATAATTAGGACAATTTGTTAATATCTAATACAACTGAAGATACCTAATGCTTATCTTTTTTAATTCAATAACTTCATCTTAGAGATGTTCTTATTCATTTACCCAGAAAAGACAAATACAAGGATGTTCTTAGCAATATTGTAATAGAAAACAAATCGAAGAACTCTACATTTCATGGGTAGGAGAACACTAGGAGACAACAAAGCCATGCTGTTGTATACAGTCACTAAATTTGTTGTAGAATCCTTTCCCAGGATTGAAGCCTCTACCAGTGTACAGTATCCATCATCTTTCTGTGATAAGGCAATAAAATTATGTGGAAATTATAAACAGCACATTTAGAGAACTGGGTACCTTCATGGGAGAATAATGATCAGGAAATGGGTACACAGTGAACTTCTGTCATATTGATACTATAGCTGTTAACCTAGGTGTCAAGTATAAGGGAAATCATTGTTATTCTTTCGATATTTTTGAATATTCAAAACATTTCTTAATGAAATTGAAATAATTATGTAACTTTTTGTCTTTGCTTAGGTTGTCCTGGGGTTTAATGTATACTGCATTCATCTTGGTCCTTTCCATAGTCATTACAATTATCATAACATCCACCCAAGTTATACTCATGACTGGCTTTATGGTCATATTTACACTCTTATTCTTATATGGCTTGTCTTTGGTAAGTTCATATGTTTATTCACACTGTCTCCCTTTGAGTTCTTAGCTACAAATAGTAAATATTAGTGTCCCTGTAGGTTAGTATAGTCCCTTTTTTCGTGTCCAGTGTGTGGCATGGTATCCATTCCTAGTTATCCCTTCTCCTTCTAATATTCTTTCCATATTGCTCTTTCTTCTCTGAATGAGATCCTCTAATTTCTTCTACCTGCCAGGATGTTTTCTGCAGAAGTTGTAGATAGATACCCTTCCTTAGCATATTAATTCATTTTAATTTTTCCAAGTTTATATTTGTACCCTATCCTCAGGTCTTTCAGCTTCCGCCCACTTCCTCAACAACAAAAGTCCACTATCTGAGTAAGGTCAATAAGGATCCTCTTTTAGAAAAAAAGAAGAAGAAGAAGAACTGTGAACAGAACAGAATCACTATGCCTTACTATTTTCATTCTCACTGATAAATATTTTTCATGATATAGAGATCCTTATACCAGTGGTTCTCAGTGAAGTAAATGTCTGCCATAGCTAAGTAAGTGTGTTCTCTCTTTCAGCTAGCTTTATCATTCCTGATGAGTGTGCTGTTACAGAAAGCTGTCCTCACAAATTTGTTTGTGTTTCTCCTCACCCTCTTTTGGGGGTTTGTGGGATTCACTGCCTTCTATAAACAACTTCCTCCATCTGTACAGTGGATTTTGAGTATTTGTAGCCCTTTCGCCTTTAGAGTTGGAATGACTCAGGTAAAAATATTGCTAATTAATTATTGAACTTTCAAAAGAACTTGATACTTCACAAGTGATTATAAGCAACACTATTTTCATCCAGGAACCTTTAAGCAGTTTTTCTACTTCAAAACTAACTTTGAAAATGTTCACTTTTCAGTGTACTAATTAAGTGCTTCACAAGTTTCTCACGTTATAAGATCTGTTTCATTTGTCACATTGAAGATATTTTGAGATACTGCAGTGACTTTATAAAAACAAGCACATGAGTCCTTATTTAAACATCTATACTTAGAACATTGTATTTTTTTAAACCAGTGTTTTTAAATAATATTCTTTTGTTTACTCTAAAATGGATGTGCTTTTTCTAGTTGTTTTATTTACTAAAAAGCTAGTTAGTAATAATAATTTTAGTTTTAATAATAATAGTAATTCTAATAATTCTGAAAGTAATAGTTCTAATAATTCTTGATGCAACTTATATATTTATTAATTTAAATATATATTGTGATTTTTGGTTGAATCTTAGATTCTCCACCTGGATTATAACTTGAATGGAGTAGTTTTCCCTGACCCTTCAGAAAAATCATATACAATGCTAGCAACATTTTCTGTGTTGGCTTTTGATGGTCTTATCTACTTGATGCTGGCACTGTACTTTGACAAAATCTTACCCTGTAAGTAATGGTGTTTTTTTTTTCTCTGACATCTATAGTTAATGATTATATTAAATAGTTTTTTCTCAAAATTATGTAAATCTACTTTTTTATAAATGAAAAGAAAATATTTCTCATCTCAGAGCAATGTATTCTTTATTTTACTTCATAGTTTTAATGGTTCAAAGGAATTTTTATGTAAAAACAATTATTCTTCTGACTTGAATATAATGTCATAATTACATGATAATGCTGATTATACAACATTATAATTATGTAGTAATGAAATAATGTTAGTTTTCAAGTATCCTTGAATAGTGGTTTCAAAGAGTGATACTTAGGACTTGTGTCAGAATAAGCAGAAATTTATTAAAGTGATTTGACTGTGGAAGTGCTTATTAATAAATATTTGTTTAGTATTATTTTCAACATTATCATATATTGTTCATATTTACAGAAGTTTATTAATATGCAGCCACACTGTCTTTATCTTGCGAACAATCAGAAATTTAAATAAACCCAGAATACCTAAAAGCTCACTAGACTCAGAATGCTTTCTCCATGTACAATCTTCTTATTCTTGGCTATTCCTTCTGGTTTGACTATAGTTAGGATTATCTGGTATATTTCTGTGTATTTATGTTTGGTCCTCTATTTCTATTACTTCTGTTTTATATCTGAAGGCCCTTAATAACAAATGCTACTTTATTTTTTTTTAATCTGAAAATAAATTGAAAGCACAACCATATTTATCCTGAACTAATATCTCCATGTGTATTTCATTCATGTACCTACATGTGAATATATGGACTTCATTATTATGTCCAGTTGTATTGCCGTGCTCAAGTTGTGTAAGTTCATAGAAATGTTTATAATTAATATGTGCCATATTGAGAATTTACATTTTCCAATATTTCATTTCATTCATTCTTCTAAATACCTTTAGGGTCACATTTTATTCAAGCCTTTGATCTATATTTTGCTAAAAGTTTTGTTATATAGTTCAGCTATTGCAATGTTATTTCTTTTGAATTTTCATTGTTTACTTCATCATCAACTTTTCTTCTGAATAATAACAAGTTAGAAAGAAAAGAATTTTTCTATGATGTTTAAAAATTTATGCTATTCTAGATTGTTCAGGGGAAACCTTGTATTCATATTAGTGATCTGATATTATATTGCCTATTGATTAATTAGATGGAAATGAGCACCGCTATTCTCCATTATTTTTCCTGAGTTCATCATCTTGTTTCCGACACCGAAGGACTGATAATACGGTCATTGAGAAAGACCTGGATCCCGAGCATCCCTCTGATGGTTATTTTGAACCCATAGCTTCTGAATTCCAAGGAAAAGAAGCCATCAGGTAACCATAATTCATGAGTACCGGGCTAAGGAGTGGTTAACCAATAGCAATGAGGTGAGCCTGAGGCCAAATATTGAAGGGACAGGAACTGGTCAACATCACTTTGCACTATTCCAAGGCCAGCCACCACCAGTTTCTCCTAACTGCTACCTGAAAGGAGGATTTCCTTCCACCCTCTCCATACAATGTTACCAAGTCATGCTCCACCTTGTCTGCTTTCCTCCTTTTGTCTCTTGTGCCCTACCTCTTTTTATAGTTGCTACTTTCATTCTCTGAACCCCTCCTTTCATAGTTTTGTCTGGCTTATATGATAAGATGGAAGAAGTAAGAAATTTGGAATCAGAAATTCTTAGAGCCTTGTATCTCAATTGTTTCTCATTTGATGTGTAACCTTGAAAAAACAAGTAAGTTTCTCCAAGTCTCAGTGTCTTCTGTGAAACAAGAGTAATTCCACTTCATAGGATTGTTAAGAGATTTGATAGGTACCTGGACCATATAAGGAGCACCTAAAATATCTATGTTCTTAGACCTTCCCTCTTATCTCAGTCCTCAGCCTTTAGAATTATTGGAAATAGAACCACTGAACCCAAGAATCCATGAATTTTAAAAAGTCTTAATTTATTTTTCAACACAGTTGCACTCAAAGAATCAGAACTTTAAATATCAACCATTTATTTCCTTATCAGATATTCACATAGTACTTATTACCTACCAGAGATATACTTAATTCTTACTAAGAATTAAACTTGTAAGGCAGGTGTTTCTGTTTTCTACATTTTACAAAGGAGAGAAGTGATCTACTGAAAGGTTAAGTTCCTTAGCCTAATATTTTTTATTGAATACATCATGTTCATTTAAAGCTTTCTTTGATCTCACTGTACCATTCTCTTCATCCCTCTTTATGTGACATACATTTTGGTATGTCACTGTGGTCCATATTTTAATGTTGTAGTGTATCCCTACATGATATGTGGCAATTCTCTGTGTTTTTAGAGTATTACTATTCTACAAATTATATCATATTGCACTTATTTCCTGTTTGCTGCTTTTACACTCAACATTATGCATTTTAATCTATCTATAGTGATAACTGTGGTTAATGCACTGATTTTAGTTTTAAAAACTAAAAATTTTAGTTTTTGTATAATATTTTAAGACATGAGTCTCTGAGCTTACTTCTCTCATTTTGCAAGAAGGATACTTTGGTTATTTCTGACTTTTTGCTTTTATGAGCACTGCTGCCATGAACAACCTTTTAAGAATAAGCAATATAAAATGATGATTTTGTTCTAAGTTTCTTTTGTGTATGTGAAGGTGTGTGTGTGCACACGCATATGGGGGTTATACTTCTGCACATCTAGCAAACAAAAGCCAGAGCTCTAAGGTTGGTGCTGCATGTGACAGGCAACATGGTGATTCTGATACATAAAACATGAGGCAAAGGATGCCAAGAGATGTCACTGGAGAGACAACAAGAGGCAGCTTGATGTCATATGTAAGAGCCTTGACATTCCCTCTAAGGCTCACGAGGAAATCCTGAGGAACACTGAGGAGTAATTAAGATGATTTAAAAAAAAATCCTGTTTTCTGTTTAGAGCATGAATTCTAAGGGGAATAACCTGAGAATAGAAAAAAAATAGAGGCAGTATAAAATAGGAGAAATATTAAAGGACTAAACAAGAATGATTATAATTAGTAGGGAGAAGAGAGACCCACCACTACAATTTTAGAGTTAATTTTTATAAGAAATTGTAATTGGTTATATGGGTGATGGATGAGTCTGAGCAATAATTATGAAGAAAATATCTGAATATCCATGCTGCTAAGTAAGGTCCAGAATGGTGGAGGGGGAATAGTTTAGGCAGGAAAGGAAATGAGATCTGTTCTGGATCTTCAAGTTTAGAGCAGTTTCTTCTTAAACATAGCTTCACATTAGAATCACTTGGAAGACTTTCATAATATCTCAGTCCTCAGCCTTCAACCCAGATCAATTAATATTTAATCTAATGTGAATCTTTAAGGTGGTTTGCAGACATAAGTTGTCTTGGTATTACAATGTACATTCAAGTTGAATAATCAGTGATTTAGTTTGTGTGTGTATGAGAGAGAGAGAGAGAGAGAGATGCAGACACAATCAGACAGGATAGAGAGAGGATAGGTTAGTGTCGAAACCATGAGAATGAATACCACACTCAGAGAGTCTAGGTGAGAAGATCCACAGTATATATACATGGAGGACCCTGAGGAAGCACAAGATGATGTTGGAATATAGACACTGAACAGAGAAAGTCATTGATGGAGACTCATCCAGTGAGCAGGATAAGGAATATACTTATTGCATTCGGTAATTAGGTGACCACAAATGATTTCATTAAAAGTAGGTCCCTGAAGTGGGTGGTTTAGGTCTGAGTGAAAGTGAGGAGTAAAGAAAAGGTGAGGAAACAGAGATGGCAAGTTTACATTTTTATTTTGAGAATAGTGCAAAATAAGGGGAGGAGGGAAACTGCATCATATCTAAATCAGAGTTAGAGTTCAAAGGCAAGCTATTAGAACACTCTAGAAGGTGTAAATGACAGAGACTCTGACTACTGAATAAGAAAGGAAGGGATGGGAGACGAAGGGTAAAACCAGAGGAAGAAAGTGAGGATAATTACAGAACTTTCTACTTTTCTAAACAAATTATTAGTGGCTTAATTGTGACTTTCCTTTTTTAAAAAATTTATATGTGACAGCGGAATGCATTACAATTCTCATTATACATATAGAGCACGATTTTGACTTTCTAGAAAGATTCTTTTATTTTCTGTGTCAGAGGAAATAATTCATTGCAAAATCCTGTCTTTCTGACTAGCCTGGCATTGCCATCTTTTATTTCACACAAGTGGCCAGTGGCATCTATCTCTACAACAGGTTTATTCATGATCTATGCTATTTTTACTTCTGTCTTGGCTAAGTAAGCATCCCTTTCATTATTTCAGGATTAGAAACGTTAAAAAGGAATATAAAACAAAGTCTGGACAAGTGAAAGCTTTGAAAGGTAAAGAAAAACATTTCATTTTTTCACTGTTATTACAAAAAATATGGGTAAAATTCAAGGTGCAAGATTTAAAAATATCATCAAAAATTAAAAGAGAAAAGTAAAAAGTATAAACAAACAAATTCAATTCTACCATTAGGACATTAATCATTACTAAAATTGTGCTGTAAAATTCTAGATATTTCATGGATCTATTAACTAACAGAAATGGAATATAAAATGAGAAATGTCATTTGATATTGTTCTTTAGATTTCTGTGCTATAGATAGTATTTTAATTTTGTATAATTTCTAGACTTACAATCTGATAATTTTTTTTCCTAGTCAGGGAATTTACATAGTTTATATGCACTGGTGCAGTAGGTAACTAGATTAAGATGTGTAAAACCATTGATAGTAAATTAAATTTGCAAGTCAATATCCTATGACAAACATAGTTTTTAAAAAGCTTTTAAAGATAGAGAAGAGCAATGAACACCCAATAAGGTTGAGGACTATCTGCCCATTGTGTTTACACTGTGTTTTTTTCCTAACAAATGCAGTATCCCGTAACTCAATCTTATTTATTCCTTTGACATTAGTTCTTTATTTTGAGAAATTAATGTATTTTGTGAGCAATTGTACTCTTCCATTTAGACCCTCTAGACTTTTCTCATCAAATACCGTTTAGATATGTGATTTCTTTAATTTTCACTAACAGCATATTGGAGTAATTTATAATTTAAATTCCTAGAACACATTATGAAACATTTGTACTCATGAAATAACCATCACTTCTTTTTATGTTTAAATACCTTCGGCTTCCATAAGAATTTCTTCCATTTTTTAGCAGTACCTTAACAAATTGAAAACTAATGGAGATCAGAACATTAAAATATATGTACAAATTGGAACCATGTGGAGTTGCTCTTCCAGGAGTAGGTGGGGAGCTAGCTGCATTCTCTATGCTTTGTGCTCTGCATGCAAGAGTCCCTGTGGAAACTCTGGAGCACCTTTGAGAATACACTCTGATTTCCTTATCTACATCCTGTTTTTCAGTGACTAAATAACATTCTGTTTTATGAATACTATGATGAACTTATCAGGTATATATTTTATACCAGTGTATAAAATTCAGTTTTCACTCTCATAGAAAACACTATGGGGGCTGGGGCTGGGGCTCATTGGTAGAGTGCTTACCTAGCATGTGTGAGGCCCTGGGTTTGATTCTCAGCTTCACATACAAAGAAATGAATGAATAAAGGCCCATCAATAACTAATAAAAATATTTTTTTAAAAAGAAAACACTAATATTATCTTTGTTCAGTCTTTATAAAGGTCATTAATTATAACCTGAAGATAAGTTTCTATAGGCAGAACTATTCAAAGAAACCATATTTTCAAGATTCTTGACTCATATTTCAAGTAATTTCCCTTGATGATTGGAGGAATTTATACTCTCACAGTCATGCATAATTAATAATAACAAGAACCACAGGAAGAAAAGCAATAAAATCTTAAGGGTCTTTGAGAATTCAGTATGTACTGGGAATTATACTAAGTAATTTACATGGATGTTTTCCACTTAACTTTATGAAAAGTATTTTGATGTTTCCCTCACTTTGCAGATGAGGAAACTGAGACTTGCATTTCATTTTTGCAGTGATGTGGGTCAGTTCCAGGAGAGCGTCAATGTTATTTTCTGCTTACTCTTGAAAACGTTGGGTACTTTCTATTCACAACACCATACATAAACTTTGTACAGTACTTGTATAGTTGTCTTGACATTATTTATTAAATAATCCAACTTTCTGATGAATTTGAGAGATCACTTTATTAACCTTTATGCTTATAATGGTCCATT